TAGTTTCTTGAGGTTAATGCTATCAGATTTTCCTCTGACAAAGGATAAATGACAACTTGGTTGATCTCAGTTGACCTTAGTGTGGAGTAGGACAACTCTTCATTCCCTAAAATAGGATAAATTTCCTAGCCCTCAGTGCAAAGGAGTTTGCTTACATAGAAAAGGAAGGGCTAAGGTAAGTGGAACCAAAAGACTAAAAAAAGAGACTGATCATCATTTGAGGAGGTCAAGGCAGGAATGTGAGACAGCTAGTCATTTATAGTCAAGAGAGCATCCGGTTCCTGGCATTAGAGTTATGGATCATTGCTATTCACCATGTGGGTACTGGGAACCAAACCCGGGTCGTCTGCAAGCTCAGACAGTGCTCCTAACTGCTGAGCCATCTCTCAGCCCCCGTACATAATGTAGTTTTGATCACATTCAAAACTCTCTCTCAGCCCCTTCCCACTCTTGTAGATCCCCTGGCTTTCCTAAGTCTACTTTCATGTCTTGTGTGTGAGGCAGTGAGTTTCATTCAAGTTGCTTACAGTAACATGGTGAGAGATTACTTGGAAGAATGCAGCTACAACACTGAAGAAATGTCTTTACATCTCCCAAGAACCACTATAAATTCTCAGGGAGGGGTGGAGCCTTGTGAACCCCTCCCCTTAGCAGCTCTTAACTACCTAGCAATCTTCAGAGAGGGGTGAGGCCTCCTGAGCCCCTTCCTTCTTTTTTATTTATAAAAGAAAAGTTTGTTTAGCTTACAGTTCCAGGGGGGCAAGAGTCCATCATGGTGGGGAGGCCTGGCAGCAGAGGTGGCTGGAACAGGAGCAGAAGGTAAGCTCTCACATCTTCAACCAGCACAGGAAGCAGAGAGTGACTAATATCACTTTCTTGCTCTAATACCAGCTGTGTGACCTGACCATAGTATTTCACACAGACCCAACTGTAAATGGAAGGGTCAGACCAATTAAATGAATGAGAATGGAAGTTACTTAATGTCCATGGATTTATTTCTATACTAGTCACACAGCAAGGAAATGGAACCAGCCTAAATGTCCATCGGTAGAACAGATGATGAAAACGTACCATATATACACAATGGAATTCTATTCAGCCCTAAAAAGTGAAATCACAAAAGTTGCAAGAAAATGAATGGATCTGGAATATATTCTCCTAAGTGAAGTTACTCGGACTCAGGGAGACAAATACTGCATGTTCTCTCATATATGTGAATCCTGACTTTTAATATTTGTGTGTGTGTGTATGTGTGTGTGTGTGTGTGTGTGTGTGTGTGCCATGAAAATAGAAAGTGCACCACAAAACGAGGGGAAAGAGGTGTTGAGGAAGTGGGGGCAAGGCAATAAAATACACGCAGCTAGGAAACAGAGCCCTGACTATTACTCCTCAGGGAGTGGAAAGTTACAAGGTGGACAGGGATAGGGAAGAAGAGAGGCAGGAGGATGAGTAAAAATATATTTTCTTTGAAAATGCCATAATGAGGGGCTGGAGAGCTGGCTCACTGATTAAGAGCACTGGCTGCTCTTGCAGAGGACCCGGGTTCAGTTCCCAGCACCCACATGGCCGCTAACAGCCATCTGTAACTCCAGTTCCAAGGACTCCGATGCCCTTTTCTGACCTCCTCAGGTATTGTGCAACACTGTGCACCTACCTACATGCAAGCACTATACTCATACTCACAAAATAAAAATAATAATAAATATTAAAAGAAGATGCTATTTGTATGCTAATTTAAATATATATTTTAGGGCCGGGCGTGGTGGTGCATGCCTTTGATCCCAGCACTTGGAAGGCACAGGCAGGCAGATCTCTGTGAAATTGAGGCCAGCCTGGTCTACATAATTAGTTTCCATGCCAGCTGTAGCTACAAAGAGACCCTGTCTCAAAAAGACCAAAAATAAATTAAAAAATAAAAAATAAATATTTTAGGTTGGGCACACCTTTAATTGGGAGGCAAAGGCAGGCAAATCTCTGTGAGATCGAGGCCAGCCTGGTCTCCATAGAAAGTTTCAGGCCAGCTGAGGCTACAGGAACACCCTGTCTCAAAAAGACCAAAAATAAATAAATATAAATTAGAATATATTTAAATATACAAATTATACAGTTAAATACATAAATATTTAAAATTTTTTATTACAGCCATTTATTTACTTTGTGTGTGTGCGCACATGTATGCATGTGCATGCCACAGTGTGCATGTGGAGGTCAGAGGACAACTTGCAGGATCAGTTCTCTCTTCCACCATGTGGGGCCTGGGATGGAACTCAAGTTAACAGGCTTGGCAGCAAGTGCCTTTACCAACCCCTAGTCATCTCGTCCACCCATAAATATTTTTTTAAAAAGAAAAGGGCTGGTGATAGCAGGCATTGACTAAATACAAGTAATGATGACCCAGCCCTAGCTCCTGGAGTCAGCAAAATCAACCATACTTAAGAACATCAGCAAACAAAGGCAGCAGAGCCTGGGGTCAGATGGGACAGTGTTGCTGGGAAGAGCTGAGGCATCACAAATCCCCATCTTCATCACTGATAGAGAAGGAATTAGGAGTAACTTGGGGTCTGGAAAGATGGCACAGTTAATAAACTACCTTACAAGCCCCATTTTTAAAAAGCTAGGCATAGGTGATACATTCCTATAATCCCAGCACTCAGGAGGCAGAGGCAGGTGGCTCCCTATGAGATCAAGATCAGCCTGGTCTACATAACAAGTTCCATATCAGCTGGGACAACATAGCAAGATCCTATCTCAAACAAACAAACAAACAAACAAAAAAGCACGGGCATGGTGGCACTAGCTTGTAATCTCAGTGCTGGAGACAGGTGAACCCCTGGGACTCACTGGTCAGCCAGCCTGGCCTACTTTCCTCAAAGGAAAGATATTTTCCTCAGTTATGTATTCATTGGTAATGTGCTCATAACCCTTCACTCATGTTCCTGTAAGCAGCTCCAATGAAAGTCAGAGTCAAAAGAGAAAAATACCATTAAAGCAAAAGGGGGACTGGTTGGGAAGAGGAAGGGGAGCACTAGGAGGGGGCAAGAGAGGGTAACGTGGGTGAATATGACCAAAATATGTTGTGGGGCTGGAGAGATGGCTCAGCAGTTAAGAGTGTATACTGCTTTTATAGAAGACAAAGTTAGATTCCCAGTACCCATGTTGAGAAGCTCACAGAGACCTGTAACTCTAGCTCCTGGGGGATCTGACACCTCTGGCCTCTATGGACACCTGCACTCATGAATCCAAGCCCACACACAGACACAAACACTTATACATAATTAAAAAATAAATTGCTAGACATGGTGGCACATGCCTTTAATCCCAGCACTTGGGAGGCAGAGGCAGACAAATCAAGGCCAGCCTGGTCTACATGTGAGTTCCAGGCCAGCTGGGCTACAGGGAAACCCTGTCTCAAAAAGACCAAAAAAAAGACAAAAAAATAAACTATTTAAAATATATATGAGGGGATAGAGAGATGTCTCAGCTAAGAGCACTGGTTAAGAGCACTGACTGCACTTGCTGAGGCCCCAGGTTCAATTCCCAGCACCCACATGGTAGCTAACAACCATTAGTAACTCTAATTCCAGGGGCTCTGATTCCCTCTTCTGACCTCCACAGGCATTGCACGATACAGGTGCACTTATCATACATGCAGGCAAAACATTCATACACATAAACATATAAATAAAATATTTTTAAATACATGTATGAAAACATCCTGATGAAACACATTATTATGTATGATTAGCATATGGTAATAAAACATTTTAATTTAATTTTTATCTTTCATTTTTGTGTATATGTATGGGTATGCCATTTGAGTGTGGTGCTTATGGAGGTAGAAGAGAGCATTGAATCCTCTGGAACTGCATTTACAGCTGGTTGTGAGCTGCCTGTCATGAGTACTGGGAACCAAACTCAGATCCTCCAGAAGAGCAGCCAGCACTCTTAACTGCTGATCCATCTCCCCAGTCCCCATAATTTTTTTTTCTTAAAGGTGGACAAGGGAGCCAGGCATGGTGGCACATACCTTTAATCCCAGCATTTGGGAGGCAGAGGTACAGATCTCTGTAAGATTAAGGCCAGCCGGGTCTATATAGCAAGTTACAGGCAAGCTGGGGCTACAGGGAGATGCTGTCTCAAAAAAAAAAAAAAGGTGGAGAAGGGGCTGGAGAGATGGTTCAGCAGTTAAGAGCACTGGCTACTCTTGCAGAAGACCTGGTTTCAGTTCCCAGCACCCATGTGGTGATTCATAACCATATGTAACTCCAGCTGTAAGGGATCCAACACCCTCCTCTGGCTTCAAAAGCATTGCATGACATGGGTGCATTTACATACATGCAGGCAAAACATTCATACACATAAAATAAAAATAAATAGATCAAAAAAAGTTTTCAAAAAGGTAGACAGTGCTGGGCATGATGGCACCCACTTTTAATCCCAGCATTCAGGAGGCAGAAGCAGGTGAATCTGTGAGATCGAAGCCAGCCTGGCCTGCATAGAGAGTTCCAGACCAGCTGGGGCTAGAGGGATTGTGTCATAACAAAAAAACAAAAACAAAGGTGGACAGTACTTGATGAATGACATTCGCTGCTGTTCTTTAGTCTCCATACTATCTGCATGCACATGCACACGCATGCACAAACGTGCACACACATTAACATGAACACACACACGAAAAATCACAATTAAATTAATTTTATATTACAAGTTATTGTTTCCATTAAAGCCATCCTAGAGCTTGGCCATGCCATAAGTGAACCCCGTCTTTTTGCTAAGGAGCCCAGATCACACCCAGCCCTTCTCTGAAATTCTTAGGAGTATAAGGACCCTGCCATAGTGTGTCAAAGCCTTGCCCTCCCCCTTCCTCTAGGTTTTTCCAGTGCTGGAACTCAGTTCCTTGTTTCTCTTCCTGAGAAGGAGTAGATGAAGGAATAAAGAACAAAGGGGTGACAGATAAAAGCTGTCATCTTAATCAAGCAGTGCGAGGGAGAGCAGTGACCATGAGTGACTCCAAACAAGTGAGGGCTCAGCAGATTGACTCTCTGGGTAAGGCTAGAATGGAACTCTGGGAGCTTGAGAAGGGAGTTTGGTGGAGGTCAACTCAGGCCTCAGTTTGCCCAGGCTCTGACTGGTGCTCTGTTCACTCAGATGGGAATGAGCTCATAATCAGCAACATTACATACTGATTAAAAGGCTTTGGCTTCTGAGCAGCATCAAGATTCAGTAGTTTTCCAGATTATAGCAGGGTCATGGACTGAGAAGGAGTAGATGCCTCTAGCAGAAATTCTGTCCTAGCGAGGTGGAGGTTGAGGGTCTGGACCCCCAGATTCTATGGAGGTGGAGGTTGCAAATCTGGACTCCTGGGTGATAGCAGCTGAGTCTCAGGACTCCTGGATCCTGAAGATGTGGAGTTTATGGACCTGAACTCCTGGGGCCTGGGGAAGTAGAGGTTGAAGATCTGGACCCCTGGGTACTGGGAAAGTAGATGTTGGGACTCTAGACTCCTGGACCCTGGGGAGGTGAAGGTTAGGAATCTGGACTTCTGGGTCCTGAGGAGGTGAAGCTTACTGATCTGGATGCCCAGATCCTGGGAAGGTGCAAGCTGCAGATCCCCTGGTTGGAATCTGACTTCCGGACTCCTTCTTCTTGGGGAGGTAGAGACTGAATATCTCAACCACCAGGTCCTGAGGAGATACAGGTTATGGATATGAACTCCTAGTTGAAAGTTGACCTCTGGACTCCTCCTTCCTGAGGAGATGGAAGCTGAAGGGCTGGAGTCTAACATAAGGAGGAGGAAAATGCTGTATCAGGTTGTCCCTGGGCCAGGTGGTAGACCACCTATCCTTCTCCTTGCAGGGTTTCTGGGCAAAGGCCACATCCCCGTGATGCTGCACCTGTTCTTCCTAATTCTTTTCACTGGACTTCTGGTGGCCATCATCACCCAAAGTCAGGATCAGCCTGTAGGTTGGAGCTCCCTTGGGTGATCCTTCATCTCGGATATCCAGGTCAAACAAAAAGGAAATGCTAAAGATGGGAATGGGCTCCACAGCAGCTTCCAACAGCTTCTTAGGACCCCCCCTAATCTCTACTTTAGTTGAAGGAAGGAAAAAGAGCAGTAGAGAGCTCTTCTCTGTATGTCAGAATTCCTTTTCTTTAAATGGGATTAAATAACACACTGGGTCTCAGATATGGTGTCCCAGTGGAGTCCATGGGTCCCAGTCAGTGTTTAATAATTGCAGTATCTTTTTTCTTATCTAAGTTTCCAAGTTCTCCAGCTTAGAGGAACTGGAGCAGGAACAGAGAAAGCAGGAGAAAATATACCAGGACGTGAACCAGCTGAAATCTGGAGTTGGTGAGTGACCAGAGAACCAAGGTGTCCCAGAGGCTGAGCGGGTATCAAAGTGAGGTCATTTTGTTTTAGTCACTGGCCATCTCTGAGCTTCCACTTCATTAATTGTGAGTTGGGAATAGTGATAAAAATGAAGACACTAGGCCATGTTTAGTGGCACAAGCCTTTAATCCCAACACTGGGGAGACAAAGGCAGACACATAGATGTCTGTGAGATAGAGGCCAGCCTGGTCTACATAGTGAGCTCCAGGCCAGCTGGGGGACCCTGTTGCCAAAAAAAAAGTGAGAAAGATATGTGGTGGTCATTGACACTCAATTAACCCATGGTCATTGGGGGCCATGCATACAGTAGGCACTCAACCCATGGTCATTGGGGGCCATGCATACAGTAGGCACTCAATTAACACATGGTCATTGAGGGCCATGCATACAAGTAGGCACTCGATTAACCCATGGTCGTTGGGGGCCATGCATACTGTAGGCACTCAATTAACCCATGGTCATTGGGGGCCATGCATACAGTAGTCATATAATTAACCCACGGTTATTGGGGGCCATGCATTTACTAGGCACAAGTAAGGCCATGCATACAGTAGGCCACTGTCCTGAGCTCTAAGGTTGTATTTCTCCTATTGAAGAGAAGTTGGGACCAGATCTATGGATTCTCCTTGGATGGAAAAAGGACTCAGGAAGTGGAGAATGGCCAGAGGGGCTATTGTCAAAGGAGGATCCTCACTCTGGGGTTCTTGAGGGCTGGGCAAAGGAACAGAGCAGTTTTGCTGGGCTTGGTGGCTCACACCTTTGATTCCAGCACTCAGGAGGCAGAGGCAGGCAGATCTCTGTGAGTTCAGGGCCAGGCTGGTCTACTACATAGTGAGATCCAGGTCAGCTGGAGCTACAGGGAGACCCTGTCTTAAAAAGACCAGAAAACAAAGGAGCAGAGCAACTCAAATGTGGGTCCAACCTGATCTACCTCTACCAACAGACAGTCTGTGCTGCCCCTGCCCCTGGGACTGGACATTCTTCCATGGAAACTGTTACTTTTTCTCCAAGTCCCAACGGAACTGGCATGACTCCATCACTGCCTGCCAGGAAGTGGGGGCCCAACTAGTGGTCATTAAAAGTCATGAGGAGCAGGTATGTCTGGTGGGGCCCTGAACTGATGTGGTTGCATTCATCTGGATACTGACCAACTGGGTCAGAGATGGTTGATCATATGGTGTCTTCAAGAAGGGATGCTTGTTCCACTTAGAAATGGAGAAGAAAGGTATGAATGTGGGGTTCCCAAGCACCTTTTGAGGAAGCATACACAAGTTTGAACATAGGGAATGCTGTGGGGAACACCTAAAATGGAAGTGATCCTTGCGAGCGTGTTAGCAGCTTATTGGTCAGGATTTAAAAATCCATATGAGGAGTAGAGAGGCGGCTCAGCGACTAAGAGCACTGACAGCTCTCACAGAAGACTTGGGTTCAGTTCTCAGCACCCACATGGTGGCTTACAACTATCCAGTTCCAGGGGAATCAATCAGCCTCTTCTGACCTCCGTGGGCATTGCATGACATGGGTGCACTTACACGCATGCAGGTAATACACTCATACACATAAAATAAAATAATAAATAAAATATTTTTTATCTTTATGAGGCTGGAGAGATGGCTCTACAGTTAAGAGCACTTGCTGTTTTTGCAGAGAACCTGGGTCTGGTTGCCAGCACCCACATGGCATCTCACAACAGCCTATAACTCCAGTTTCAGGGAATCCAATGCCCTCTTCTAGTTTCTGTGGGTACCAGGCACACAACTACTTACACACAGGCAAAAGACATAAATAAATAAATTTATATTTAAAATCCTTATAAGTCATATTTACCAATTTCCTTGTGTAAATATCCTCACCATAGCTGTTTTCATGTAACCAATGGAATGTCACTCAATAAGGAAACTGAGAAGAGATCATGTGCGTGGCCCACAGCCACAAACTGGTATAATCTGGCTTCAGCCATTAAAACCAGTCCTGAGTACATTTTTTTAATTCGTTTTTTTAACTTTATGTGTATAAGTGGTTTGCCTGCATGTTTGTAGGTATACCATGTCCATGCAATGCCCATAGAGGCCACAAGAGGACATCAGATCTCCTGGAACTGGGGTTATAGATGGTTGTTAGCCACCATGTGGGTACTGGGAACTGAACCTGAATCCTCTGGAAGAGCAGCCAGTGTTCTTAACCACTGAACCATCTCTCCAGTCACTCCCTCCCCGAGTAAATATATGTGAACATGGTCAGAACTCTTGAGATAAACATGTAGTGTTGACAAGTGTGAGTGATGGGAGGCCAGCTGTGCACATTATTAGAACAAGTTCAAACACGTCTGTCCATAGGGTACATACAAGTATGCAAAGGACTAAGAGTTCCTGAGAATATCAGACTTGCAATGTAGCTCAGTTGGTATTGCACTTGCCTAGCATGCATGAGCCCTGGCTTCCATTCCCAGCATCACATAAACCAGATGTGGTAATGCACACCTGTCATCCTAGCACTTGGAAGGGGAAGGCCTGATGTAGTAGAAAGGTGCAAGTGTTAAAATCAGATTGGAAGCAGAATTGGCTACCAAGAAATTGGGGAGCATGTTAGCTTTTCCTTTGCTGTAACAAAACACCCAAGAAAAACAACTTAAAGGAGGAAAAGTTTGTCTTACAATTTCAGAGACTTAAATCCATGATCTGGTGGAGCCATGGCTTTTGTATCTGTGGCAAGGTATAATTATGGCAGAAAGGCATAGCAAAGAAAACTGTCTAGTAGCTGACAGGAAGCAGAGAAACAGAGACAGGAAGGGGCCAGGGACAAGCTGTCCCCTGCTGGGCTTCAGAGATAGTTGAAAGCACTGACCGTTCTTGCAGAAGACTCAGGTTTGGTTCCCAGCATCCACTGATGGCTAACAACCATCCTTAACGCCAGCTCCAGGGGATCCAATATCCTCTTCTGGCCTCCATATCCATTTCACATACATAGTGCATTACATACATGCAGGTAAAACATTTGTACACATAAAACAAAAATAAATTTAAAAAATATATCCCCTGCTAAGACTCTACAACTGTGACTTAATTACTCCATCCAAGCCCCACCTCCCAGCTTCCATAACCTACAAATTATGCCATCAAATAGTGAACCCATCCCACCCTCCCTGAGGATTGATAGGCAGTTAACAGTTGTTAAGGGAGAAGGGTTTATAAGGCCCTGACCCTCCTAAGGATCTGTAGACCTGAGGGAAGGAGCTATGTTTTCTTCAGTGGTATACTAGTAAGTTGCCTATGTGCCTGTAATTTACCCTAATTAGACTCATTAGTTTACCAAAACTACACTTTTTTTTAATTTGGCAGTTTTTAAAAACTATGACTATATGGGGCTGGAGTGATGGCTCAGTGGTTAAGATCACTCACTGCCTGCTCTTGCAGAGGAGCTGAGTTTAGTTTGGGGGGCTAACAACCATCTATAACTCCAGTTCCAGGGGATCCAATGCCCTCTTCTGGCCTCCACGGGTATTTCACACATGGCTGGTGCACACATACATGCAGTCAATAATACACTCACACGCATAAAATAAAAACAAATAAATCAAAAAAATTTTAAATATGCCTATATTCATAGACAACAAACCACAGTACTAACATTAACTAGAACTCTATGACCAAGTTCATGTCATGTAGAAGTTACAGCAGATATCTTTAAATTTTTCAGAATTTTATACATGAGAATAGTATTTGCATACTCCTCGGACTTCCCCTTCCAGCTTTTCCCATGTCTTCCCCCCTCCCTACTTGTTCTAAATTTCTTACCCTTTCTTTTTTTGTTGTTGTTTGGGGTTTTTTTTTGTTTTGTTGTTGTTGTTATTGTTGTTGTTGTTTTGAGACAGGGTCTCCCTATAGCCCTAGCTGGCCTAGAACTTGCTATGTGGACCAGGCTGGCCTTGATCTCACAGAGATCTACCTGTTTCTACCTCCCGAGTGCTGCGATCAAAGGTGTACACCACCATCATAGGCATACATGCATTTATAAATATATATATATATATATGTATATATATGATGATGAGTCCATTTGGTGGTGCTTTATGCACCTGTCTTTAGGACTGCCTATTTGTGATTAGATAACTTTTCAAGGGACTAGTCCCTGGAGAGAATGACTCTCCCTCTCTCAGCATCCATTGATTGCCTGTAGCTCTTTAGCTAGAGGTGGAACCCTGTGCCATTTCTGTATATTTTTTTGAGACAAGGTCTCCCTATAGCCCCAACTCTCCTGGAACTCACTTTGCAGACCAGGCAGGACAGAGATCCACCTACCTCTGCCTCCTGAATGCTGGGGTTAAAGACATGCACCACCACACCTGGCCATTTCTATAAATTTTTTTAATCTATTGATAACTTAATCCACCATTAGCTAGAAGCCCTCTCGATCCTGCCATTTCCTAATACCACCATCAGCAGGCGAGCAAGCCTTAAATAGACCAGGCTTTGGGGTAGGGACACATGCTGGAAAATGGGACAAAGGCCGCCTTCTGACTCCTTCTCTCTCTCTCTTCAGAGCTTCCTGCAGTGGAATGCTAAGAAATATGGCTACACCTGGATGGGGCTGTCAGACCTGAACAAAGAAGGCACATGGATTTGGGTGGATGGCTCACCTCTGTCCAACAGGTAGCCAAGATAAAGCTTCCTAAAGAGTTTTGGAGGGAAGCTGCTGTCTGATAGTCTAATCTGTGCCACCCTCCAAGTTCTTTTCCCCACCCAGTCCCCCAAATTCCATGACCCTCTAGTCATAACAGTCTATAACATTTACTGATGGAGGAAGGAGGACATGATTTTCAGACAGGTTGGAAAGTGCTTTAAGTCCCACCATAAGAGCTGCAAGAGGAACTTGCAGCCTATGTGGGTGGTTAATGAAGTATATTCAAAGACACATTGAGGTATAGTAAAGTCACTAGGTCAGGGAATTATCTATCATTTGATAAACAGCATGTTGGGCTAGGGAGATAGCTCATTTAGTAAATTTCTTGCAGAGCAAGCATGAGGACCAAAGTTTGATCTCCAATTTTTTAAAAAGCTCAGCAAGGTGGTACATGCTTGTAACCCCATCTCTGGGAAGGCAGAGACAAGTGGATCTTTGGGGCCCCCTGGCCAGGCAGCCTAGCCTATCTGGTAAGTTCAAAGTCAGTGAAAGACTCTGTCTCAATAAAACAAGGTGAATGGTTCCTGAGGAACAACACCTGAGATTCGCCTCTGGCCTACAGAGAGAGAGCAAATGTGTACAAATACACACGAAAAGACAACATGCTCTCTCACATATTCTAAGAGAAGGAGTACACATTACATGTGGGGAACATTGCCAAGGACAAGTGCCACTCCGGTTGTGGAGGGAAGAGCTATGGGCAACAGCCTTCATTAGATATCAAAGATAGGAGTAGGCAAGGCTGGGTAAGTACATGTAGGTATGGGTGCCATGGTAGTGGGTACTGGGTCACAGACAGTGTCCCTGGCTGTCTGATATTTAGCCCTGGGCTTGTGTGTATTGACCCAGGAAGAAGATAGTTGAATCTGTGTGGGAAGGACTTGGGACATGAAAAAGACTTTGTAACAAGTGTTTATAAATTGAAATCTTACATAACCTTATAAACCAAATTAATCATATATTTGAGAACCTTTAGAACTATGAACTCCTTCTAAGAAAAACAAAATAACTGGTCCTATATTTAGAATCTCAGTGTAATTAAGTTTTATAAGCTAAGCTAAATGCATAATTTTAATCTTATACCATGTTCCCCATTTGGGACTCAGTTATGCCCCTCACTCAGAACAATGTATTTGCACATGAGATGAGACAGTAATGATGTTGAAAACAACAATGACCTTGAAAACAACCCCTCCCCCACAAATGTTGCAAGCAACATATGGGCATAGGGCATAGGTAGGTTGATAACATTTGTTGACATTGCTGGGACTCTCTTGCTTTGTGTGCTGTCCTGAGTCAGTAGAGTTAGAAAAACAACTTCTTCCTTTGTAAAACTGTTATCAAAGATTGTCTATACCATGCTTGATACACTGCTCAATAAATATGAGAGGAGCCCTTTGTTGAAGAACAGCAGAGCAGATAGAAAAAATGCAGCTGACACAGTTCTGAGAGAAATAAAAACACCTTAGAACAAGACAGGGAACACCCTTGATTAAACTACTTCGAGAGCAAAGTTCCTCATTGATGGGGCACCCTCTGCAGATCTGTATAGTCTACATTGGATGGTTATGTCTGATAACCACACCCTCTGTGTAACAACTGCTCTCAAACGTGGGAGATAACAAGTGTAAGGGTCAAAAGCTAAGTAGCTCAGGCATGTCATGGGGTCCAGTATAAGGCATGTCTGAAGAGAATATATGAAAGCATCTTGTTTCTAGGAGCAGGGAAACAGGGTGGACAGCATAGGACGGCAGTTCAGAAAAACATTGTAGATGCTGTCTTTTCTCTAATGTGTATTATTGGCCTTGTAAAAAATCAGGTGGCTTCGGAAGTCACGAGGAGGACCTAGATTTATATCCAGGTTCTTAATTCTATTCCATTAATCAGTATTTTTGTGCCAGTGCCATGCAGTTTTTATTACTATAGCTCTGTAGTATAACTTGAACTCAGGAATGATGATACCTCCAACAGTGTTTTTGTTTGTTTATTGTTTTTCATTTTTTAAGTCAGGATCTCCCTATATAGCTTTGGCTGACCTGGAACTCAAAATGTAGACCAGGCTTGCCTTGATCTCACAAAGATCCACCTACATCTGCCTCCTGAGTACTGGCATTAGGGGTGTGTGCCACCATGCCTAACCTTCCAGCAATATTTTTAATGTTCAGGGTTGTTTGGGCTATCTTGGGTCTTTTGTGTTTCCATATGAATTTTAAGGGTTTTTTTTTCTAACTTCCATGAAAACTTGTGATGGAATTTTGATTAGGTTGTTTAGAATTTATACACTGCTTTTGGTAGGATGTCCATTTTCACACTATTAACCCTACCAATATGCATGGGTGGTGTCTTCAGGTGTCTTTTTCAACTTCTTTCTTCAATGTTTTAAAGTTCTCATGGTAGAGGTCTTTCACTTCCTTGGCTAAGCTCATTCCAAGGTATTTTTTGAGGCTACTTTGAATGAATTGTTTTTCTGGGCTTTTAAAAAAAGATTTATTCATTTTTGTTTTGTGTATGAATGTTTTGCTTTCACGTATGTAAGTGCATCACCTGTATGCAATGTCCATGGAGGCCAGAAGAGGGCATCTTATCTCCTATAACTGGAGTTGCAGAAAGTCCTTAGCCTCCATGTGTGTGCTAGAAATGGAACCCAGGTCTTCTACAAGAGAAGCCAGTGCTACAAGAGAACCACCAAGCCATCACCCCAGCCCCCCTGATTTCTTTCTCCACGTTTGTCATGGTATGTAGGAGGCTACTGAGTTTCGCGTGTTATTTTGGCATAATTGTGTATGGCCTTTGCAGCCTCAAGAAATATTGGAACCAAGGACAGCCCAACAACAATGGGGGACAAGACTGTGTGGAATTCAGAAAGAGTGGTTGGAATGATGCAAGTTGTGACAACACAAAATTCTGGATCTGCAAAAGTTCTGCAACTCCCTGCTCCAGAAAGTGATGGCCAGTTCTGCTCTGTAGTGTCAACAGCCTAAGCATCTGTGTTGGGTAATAGAACTTTATCCACATTTATCCTGGTTCCTTCTCCCTGTCTGTGGGCATGGAAATGTTAACACCTCAGGGACTCACCCGTCTCATTCGTTATCCACTATGGTGCTGGACCACTGGTGTCCTTCCTAATGCCTCCAAGTTCCTATTGCCCTACAGGCTGTAGTTCTGCCAGAGTTAATACACTGAGGGGCTGGGTGTGTTCCATTCATCTCCCTTGTCTTCCTTGTTGTGACCACAGTGTTTACATTACCACCCTGTAATGTACATTATACTGGTAAATTGTCATGTGCTGTTTGAGTTCCCTGAGGAGCTGGCTTTGGAAATGTGGTTGCCCACCTCAAAGTGTCCTCCAAAGACCTTTGTCTTGGAATGGTCTGCTCCCCAAACTCCATGACAAGGAAGGAAGAGAACAATAAAACACCCCAAGGGCAAAAACATTGTGTCCTTATAACAGCTAGCAGAGGTTGCTGTTGTTTATCCTGTAATTATTATAAAAAAGTGACTATAGTGGAAAAGAGAAGCTGGAAGCTTGGTCATGAAAAGCTAATCCATGTAGATATAGCTCAATCAGACACTTCAGCTGTCTGCCTCAACTTCCCCAGTGAGTTTATGCTTTACCTGTGAACATCAATTTGATGATGTTCTCTGTTGCTATTAGTTCTTTTACTTGGAAGCCTCACCTGGGGGAGACTCTGCTTTGTTCAGAACTCTCCAGCTTAGGAACTCAGCTGGTTTCCTTAGCAGGACTTCCCCAGGCATTTTCTGCTATATGTTTGTAAGACTCCAATTAGATGATGTTACCTTTCTGCTGTTATTTTTTCTTTTATTGGAAGCTTCCCCAAAGGGGAGACTCTTTAAAGGGAACTCCAGCTGGCTGCCTTGAAGAGGTGTATTAGGGCTCTCTAAAGAAACAGAACCAGTAGCATGAACATTATAATGCTTCAGATTAGCTCACAGGAGAGAGTCCAAATACAAAAAGACCCTGTGTCTCACACCTTACAAAGTAGATGTATTAGTCAGCGTTCTCCAAAGAAACAGAACCAGTAGAATGAATATGTATAAAGATTTATCAGCTTAGCTCACAGGATAGTGTCCGAGTAGTCCAACAATAGCTGCACCACACTGGAGAGGCTGAGAATCCATAGTCATTCAGTCCACAAGGCTGGATGTCTCAGTAATCCCAATCTGGTGCTGAAGGTCTGATGAATTCCAGAAGATCGGCTAGTCTTCAGTGTACAGCAGCAAGGCAAACTCACCGGCGAGAGAGAAGGCTAGTGGCAAAAAGCAAGCGCTCTCCTCTGCCATGGCCTTTTATATGGCTGCTATCAGAAGGTAACACCCACATTTAGGGTGTGTCTTCCAGTTTCAGATCATCCACTCAAGAAGCTCTCTCTCATTTCAGTTAATCCCAGATCCAGTCAAGTTGACACCCAGGATTAGCCATCACAGAGGCTTCCCTGGTCAATTTCTGCTAGATGTTTTGAGCACCCAATTTGATGATGTTTTGCTCTTTGATTTGATGATCCATCATTTGCTATTTATTCTTTTACTTTGGCTTGCTGTATATTCAGTAAGTTTACTCATTCAAAACCAAAAGTATAGGTATCATAGGTCATTCTCCAGATCATATAGCACACATATGTAACTTGTGTACTCCATGGTGCTTCACACCATCTCTGCATAATTTCCTTCCATTTACTCACCTCCATCCACCTCCCCTGTATCTTTTAACTTAAAGATCTTTCCCTGGTTGTTGTAGCTCACCCTGTAAGTTTAATCACCAGGAAATTAATCTCCTCAGTTGCCAAATGGTGGGTGGGAGTTGGTATGTGAATACCCTAGCCTATCCTCCCCTGTTGATGGCATGGTAGACCAAAATGGCTCTTCTAGAGCTCTGTCCAAGGAAGGACCTTTCTCCAGCTCCTGGGAGTTCTGATACAGGCAGAGGTCACATGTTGCAGGTTCTCCTCAGGCCAGCTGTGAAGACCCTAACCTGGATTGGGTCCCCTGCCAATTGGGGGGGCAAGAGGCATGGAGTCACAACACACAGACCCCGGGAGTCGGGTAGAAGCAAGCACTAGGCGAGGTGCTGCAGGCTCGTTTAATGCAGGAGGAGGCACGCCTTATATTTCCCTTTTCTCTGCCCCCAAGTCCCTTTAGTCAGTGTATCGTTTTCTGATTGGTCCACGCCACACAGTCTGTCAGCAGTCACTGGGCTCGCGAGCAGGGTACGGAGGCGTGGGCTCCTTTTGGCAGGCTATTTGTGAACCGAGAAGTGAAGTGAATTCTCACTGAATCCCATGGCTCTGGGTCCACGCCATCTTTGCAGGCCTCCTGCTACAGTCACATTCAGCTCCTTCCCACCTAGAATCTGCTACAGACAGCTACCATCATCAATGCTGGGCTCCTTACTGCTTCAGCTCACATGAATGTGAGATGATGAAGACCCAACTATGTTGGTTCCAACAAGGGTCCACTATGAAGTACCTGAAGACTCTAGAGCAGGTGACTGTGGATTCTGTCTCCACCACTCCTAGACTCATGACCCCACCACATCCTGCTTTCTCCCTGTGGTATAATAAAAATAAACATTTGGTCTTTGTCTGGACTTCCCAGTGATAAGAAATTTGTGATCTCCCCAGCCCGTCTCTCCTCCTAGCCTGGGTCCTGTCCCATTCCTAGTCTTGGCACCCCAGACATCAGGGGAACCACCACTGCTTCCTGATCCTTTGCATCCAGACCAGCTGTTCCTTCTCAGGTTCCCCAGGAGCCCTCTGGGCCTGGCCCCACCCTCACCACCCTCTACTTCCCTGGGCCTGCACAACCCGCCAGACTCTTTCCTGGACGCAGGGGCTGACCTTTCCACTTCCTGATCCTTTGCATCCAGACCAACCCTGCTCCTCAGTGCAGTCCCCAGGAGCCTTTGCATCTCTGGGAGGCACAGCCACCAGCTGCCCTAGATCAGCATCTTTCCTGGGCCCTGCTCCCAGGCCAGTCCAAACCACAAATTCCTGAGGCCAAAATCGTTCCTGTGGAGATCCAGACCTTAGGAGAAAGCCTGAGAGCATCTGATCCTCATCTGACTAGGGCCTCTGTGGGAACTCCTGAAGACAAAAGCAATCTGGCCACCCCAATATAAAATCAAAAGAGAAAACCAGAAGCTTAGAGGAAC